CTCTTTATATAATAAAAGTGTTTTAACAACCTACTTCATGCTGGAATATAACAGATCAGGAGCATGAAATCAGACACCCTGACTGCTATGAATAATTCAAGCAGTGGCATCTCAAGGTTAGCATCATTAGCACTGATTGGTTTGATTGGTTAGTGGACTCCGAACCCATCACAGTTTCCAGAATGTGACCTGCTTGGCTCCTAGCAACAGAACACTTACAATCAGCGCTAGTGACTGTCACATAAATGCCATTTACTCAGCTTAATGTCGAATGTTGAACACTCTTGCATTACAATAAAACAATAAAACAAACTGAAGCATTAAGAATTGGTGTGTGTGTATCATAGACACGCACAAACATGCATACATATGATTAAAATTTTATTTGATTAAAAACTGCATGTAGGTCTACTCCTTTCAACCCAACCAACAAACAAACAAATAAATAAATAAATAAATAGTTGTGCATGGTTCATTTCATAGGCCACATCTGATATTGAAAAAAAAAAAATATATATATTTATTTATTTAAAAAAAACTGCAACCACCAAAAAAGTAATAAAAAATAATATAACATAAAATAAAATAACATTAAACAAAACAATTTAGGAATTGGCATGCATCTAAACCTATGTCAGTTTCATTTCTATAGTAAATATTAAATAAAAGAGGTATTTCTGATAAGTTAACTTATTTAACTTATTTTAATCTGACATCTATTGAGGTAAAATTAATTAATTATTAATTACAGAAATTCGTTTTTAAATGTAACAGCTGCCGAGAAACATTTTATTCTCTTAAAGCATTCCTTCTTCTTCAGACGGCTGACTGTTTGGCACACATACACATACAAACACAATTTTGCAACTTGCAACAAGAGTAGATGTAACATGCCAGTGCTTCTATACCGATGACGCATGATGTCCCCTGGGCTATGCAGTGCTATTATTATAACTCATATACTCTGATGCACAGCCAGTACTGAACTGCCCTGGAGACAGTTAAACACAGATGTATAGGCAGGGTAAAAGGGTCTGTCCCTTTTAGGGACACAAGTAAATGAATTATTTCACTCCAAATGTTTAAATGTGGTTAGCCATTTTAGAATTGGGCTTCCTGCATTGTATAACATGGCCGCAGGATGTTGCTTAATGTATGTGACGTTCAGATTGACATGCTCAAATGTGTTTTGATGGTTCAAACTGGAGCTATATGAGAGATGAATGGAAAAACCAAATAATTAGGATATTTTAGGCTGTTTTTAGAGGACAATTGTTTTATTAGTAGATTAATTGCGTTGAATCATTTTTGGAGGTCAGTTGTACTATGTGTGCTTTAGTTAGCAGATAAATTGATTTTATTCAGGCTTTTTCAAGCTTTGCTTAAATGAAATAGAAGAAAAGTAGAACAGGGATTTACAGGAGGGATTATGCAATGACATGTCCTTCTGTTACTTGGCAGCTCTGTGTGTGTGTGAATGAGAGTGCGTGAAAGAGAGAAAGAGAAAGAGTCATAAATATGTTTTATGTTGTATCTGAACTCTGAGGCTGTGGTGCTGCATCTATGAAGTTCAGAAGCGATTTCTTGTGAGATTGCTGGGCTATTGGCACTAAGAGATAGTATTAAAATAAAGTGCTCAAATCACTTTTTTTTTTTTTTAAATTTATTTGTGTGTACATATATTTGTGTGTACTGAGTATATTTGATATGTATATGTAAATACACACACATACATGTGTATATATATATATACAAAATATTTATATGTATGTATTTATATTTATATATAATTTATATTATATAGATATAAATATTTTATATATAAATATATTTTTCTTAGATATATACATGTAATATTTACATGCATGTGTGTATATTTATATATATACATAATAAATATATACAGCACACACACACATATATTACTGTATGTAAGCACAAACTTTTATTTTGGATGCGATTAATCGTGATTAATCGTTTGACAGCCCCTAGCATTCTGCAACCTTGGCTTTTTGAGACAATAAATCCATTTGTTTTCATGAAATTTGTTTCAAAATCAAGTCATTCACAGATAATCTTCCTCTTCATTTTTGCTGTTAACTGCTGCGAATGGATCATTAAGTCAGTGAGTTGCTGTGTTTTGCCTGAGTATGTGTTTTAATTTGTAACAACATGAGGGTGAGTAAATGGCAATTGTCATTTTTTGGGGTGAACCAATCATTTAACAGCCTAAGAGCTCATTTATGGGATCATTAATAAGGCCAAATTAGCAGTTGATGCAGCAATGCCACACACACAAAAATATATATACATATTACAGTATTTTTCACTAGTGTAGGATTTTGAGCTTATGATCACTTTAGACAATGTCCCTATTTAGATCATATTGCATCGTGTATAAAATGAAACGCATAGATCAATGAACTACAGTGTGTAATCAAATGCATTCTGTTCATTGACCATCTGTCCCTGGAGAACCAAGATAAGTGTTTGCTTAGTGCAGAAAATCCTTTTCAGCCTATTGACTCTCTGAAGGTCATTCTTGAATCGCCCTTTTTTTAAGGTCAGAACACATCGTGTTTGTTGAAGGAAACTTAATTCATCACATTTATCTTATTGCTTGTTTGTTGTCTGTTTGTGTTAGTTATGTACATGTGAAAATACCACTGTGTGTGTGTGTGTGTGTTCATAAAAGCTTTCCTTGTGACTGCTTGACTAAATTCAATTTCTCAGTCCAGTAATGATTGCTCAAGCATGTACTGAAAATATGTGTACTTCAGATGTCCTTTTCATGGTTATTGTGGCTTTTTGCTTCATGGTCGATTAAGAATATTTAATAGAGTTTACTTAAAGGGCTATTTTTATGTGGTTTTGGCTTTTGGTCTTGCACATCCCACCATATGGCAGCTGAGATGTATTTCAGAGCAGAGACAGTATGTTCTGTCAGAGCTCATGCTGCCTGTCAGACTCCTGACTGTAGCGTCTGTGGTGGCGTGTGGGCTTGCTGACGGAATAATGATGTTCTGAGCTACTAATAAGCATCAGGAAGTGATTATAGACAGTTTAAATGCAGGTACATGATTTCAGTGACTTTTTTTTTTTTTTTTGCTCTTTAAGTAGATGAAAATTGTCAGTGACTTTTTTTTTTTTTTTTTGCTCTTTAAGTAGATGAAAATTGTGCAATTATCCTTTGTTTTCACACGATCCAAGTCCATTTGTTTCCTCCATGATGCAGGGTATTTTTGGCAATGATTTTCTCTTATATAATGGCTGTGCATTCATTTTATACAGATTTTTAGTGGGATGGTTCTAGTTTTCTCAAGTGCAGAGTATTATGTTAATTACATACCGTGTGCTACTTATACTTTTTGTGGAGTATGGTGCAAACTGCAAAGAAACCTCTTTGTTGGTAAAATAGGCTTCTAAAGGAAGTTCAGGAGGAGCGAGTCATTTAATCCTGTCAATCACAGCACAGTATTTAATATTTAAAGGGCCACTCACCTCGCTCCTGTGACAGCACTTCCGGTATGTGTCCACCACCCCCATCTCCACCTTTATTTTATTCACTTCTACTTTATTATGAATTATTGATTAAATTGTCCAGAGAGATGTTTAGAGCCTGAGTTGAGTCTCATGCTTGAGTCCTCCATGATGGACAGTAAACTAAACATGTTTACTTGTATCTCACTCAAGGATTGTATGAAATATAAACTCGTGAAGGACATTTATGGCTGGGTAACACAGTAGGCGCTGAACAGTGACCTGGGTGTGATTCTTTCTAGCTCTTCTTTGCTTTTGCTCTTGATCTCTCACATTCTCTTGAGCAGAAAACTTTTCGCAGGCAATCCATATACAGCAAATTGCTAAAAATTTAGATTTTTTTTTTTTATATTCCCGTTTTTCCTAATGTCATCAGCACTTGAGCTGCATAAGTTTGTGTAAGACCTGATGATCATGTTTTCCAGCATGATTTGAGATGTTCCACAGAGCATCTTGTGCTTCAGTGTAAGCAAGAACATCTGATCTTTTGTGTTAAATTCACGTAATCGATGTGATGCATTTGCTTATTTTATTAGTGCACTAGAAATAGTTCAGAACCTTTAATAAATCGTATTAATTTTACATCGTAACATTTGAGCATGTTTTAAATTGTGTTAAATCCTAAAACAAAAATGTTCAAAAATGTTTAATTTAGGTTGAAATTACATATTACTGTATACAGCATACATGATCATTCACAAGATTGGGGTCAGTAGTTTTTTTTTTTTTTACACACTTATGCTGTATATATCATGCAAAGACACATTACATTGTTCAAAAGAGACAGTAAAAACATTTTATAATGTTACAAACATTCTCTATTTCATACAAATGCTGTTCTTCTCAACTTTCTATTCATCAAAGAATTTATTATGGTTTCCACAAAAATATTAAGCAGCATAAACTGTTTTCAACATTGATAATAATATTAATAAGAACTGTTCCTTGAGCATCAAATCAGCATACTGGAATGATTTTTAAAGAATCATGTGACACTAAAGACTGCAGAAATGGCTGCTGAAAATTCAGCTGTGCCATCATAAGAATGTATTACTGTAAAGTAAAGACAGTCAATCGACATTTCTGTTTCATACTATTATACTAGCTCATTTTATACTAGTTTATGCACCTAAATAGCATTTACTTTGACTATGTAAGTTCAGATGACTCAAATCTTCCTGTGACGATGCCTGCAATAGGTCATTTTCATTTACATCCATTATCATATTGGTATGATTCCTGCCTCTCTCTGTTGAATTTCATTTACTGCTGGTGAGAGCAGCAGGGTTTTAGAGCACATCGGCATGGACCCGTTTAGACAAACTACAGTGACTCAGCACTTATTGACTGTGTGGCGGCCATTTAGTGGCTGACAACAGAGTATTAGATGTCCACTCAGGATCTCGAACATGTTTTATTAACCTTACTCATTCTCTGCCATTCTTTTCCTTCTCTTTCAGCCATCATCAACCCCAAAGCACCCAAAGAAACCAAAAGCTTCAATTTTGATTATTCCTACTGGTCACATACCTCGGTAAGTCAGTAGTTCAATGAAATGAAACAAAAATCAGCATTGCATGCAGTGAAACACACAAAACATGATAGACGTAATACCCTTAAATGGTCAAAGATCATGCAGTATATATTTTTCTTCATCTATCCACAGCCAGAAGATATCAACTATGCCTCCCAGCAGCAGGTGTTCAGAGACATTGGAGAGGAAATGTTACTTCATGCCTTTGAGGGCTACAACGTTTGTATTTTTGCATATGGCCAGACTGGGGCCGGTAAATCTTATACCATGATGGGCAGACAGGAAAAGGACCAGCAGGGGATCATTCCACTGGTAAAACAGATGCATAAATAAGCAAATATGAAGAATACGCATTTCTAAATATCAATTGAAGTACTTAAAAACCAATTTTCAGCTGCTAAATTGCCATTTTTGTACATCTAAAGCACACATTGTCTCTCCTGTCACATTGGCATTGCTTTATAAACAGGAAAAATGATAATGTATTCAGAGGCAGTGTGAACAAGATAAATTCAAACAAAATTAAATGACAAGTCAAACACCAAGCTGACCAGTACACACAGTAAGAAAATGATTATTCGCTTACTAATCTCTCTTTATTATGTCTCTCTCTTTCCTCTTCTCCCTTCAATCCTAAACATCAGCTGTGTGAAGACCTTTTTACCAAGATTAATGGCAACAATACTGATAACAACATGTCCTATTCTGTGGAGGTAAGATTTTTTTATTGTTTCAAATCTGAGTGTAGCTTAATTCCAAAGCAGCTGTTTTTATACAGGGTGTGTCTGAGTCTGTGCCCTGTTATCACAGCTATTACGATAAATTAAAAAAAAACAATTATCATGTCATTAACACTTTAGCAATATTGTTATTACTTTTTACTGTAAATTTTGTATATGATTTTTAATTTTAATCCTCAAGTAGATTGTTTTTTGCTTTTAACAGTCTATTATTTTCATCCTTTCAGGTTAGTTATATGGAGATTTACTGTGAAAGGGTACGAGATCTTCTGAACCCAAAAAACAAAGGAAATCTGCGTGTGCGAGAGCACCCATTACTGGGCCCGTATGTAGAGGATCTGTCCAAACTCGCCGTCACATCATATAATGACATTCAAGACCTGATGGACTCAGGGAATAAGGCTAGGTGTTCTATTCTATTCTATTGTAATGGAGTGTTCATGCCATGTCTGTATTGCTGTAATTATGATTTTCCAACAAGTAAAAACTATTCATGTACATTACTGTTCAAAAATTTGGGTCAGAAAGATTTTTTCAAAAGACATTAGTATTTTATTAATCCAAGACAAATTAAACTAATTAACTTATTAAAAGTGACAGTATAGACATTTAACATTTTAGATTATTTTTTAAATAGCACAGCTCTTTTGAACTTTCTATTCATCAAAGAATCCTGTAAAAATGTATCCCAATTTCCACAAAAAAAAATGAATGCTTAAAAAAACAGCCTTTACCATTAAATACACTACCATTCAAAAATGTTATTGTATAATAAACATATAATTATAAATGGGGAATTTTTTTTTGTTGGAATTTTATGAATATTCCAAATTTTCTGATTTGACTGTCATGATGCAATGAAACCAAAATGAATTCTGCCACAAAAACAACTTAAAGAGCAGGTCATATGGTTTTTTAAAGTGTCCTAATATTGTGTTGGAGTCCCCTACAACAGGTTTAAATGCATCTAAGGTCAGAAAACACTGTAATTTTCCCAGAATATACATTTATACATAGAGTCATTTGTCCACGATTTCGAAAATGTTCGTTCGATTAAGTTCTGAGCGAAATGTCTGTAAACCCCTCCCTTCCATAAGCCTACTCTGCTCTGATTGGTCAGCTGGCCAAGCCTGTTGTGCGCGGTTGTTTTTGATGTCGCGGGTTGTAGCGACCCCAATAACGTCATATTTAGGCACTGGAATGCGAATTTACCAGGGGAACCCCGACTGAAAGCGTGAACGCGATTTTTAAAGGGGGACCACCCTCGAAACAGGTTTTGGCTAGTTTTGAGTAGCAATTGGGTGGGTTTTGTGACAACCTGGCAACCCTAGCATGCACCTTTACATAAAACAATAATATAGTGCTCCAATCAGTTCTTAAAATAATGACATAAAAACATTTTGTTTAACACTTATGCAAGCGGATCGTGCCCACAGCTAAAGTTTTGCTGCTAAACTGTAAACATTTAACAAAACAATAATGGTGGATATGTTAGCCGAGTGCTAACATGCCAGTGACGTAGATCGGTAACAGGCAGAAGATTCGAAAATATAACGACTCGTTAAGGCGATTCTGAGTCGACTCTTTCTTTTGAGAGACAATATCTTTATTTATCATGCACTTTTTTGATTAACAACTTTGCAGACTGTTTACATTGAAGGATAGCTACCTTACAAACTGCAAAAGAGATATTTTTCGAAAACCCATATGACCTGCTCTTTAAGATAGGCAGGGACCTGAACTCATATTTGAGTTTATTGCCCAAGTGCATTATGTTTGTTTTTAAACATTTAGAGAGAACATATAGAGGTGAATTAATGTAGTCATTAAATTATTTGCTGTCTTCTAAAACAAAGTCATGGGGATTTTGAGCGTTGTCGTAGAAACAAATCATTTCTGAGTCTGAGGACATGATCAGCACAAACTAGAATCTCAAAGCTGCTATTTTGTAATTACAGTAATTCTGGCACAATGTGAAAGCATTCTATTCTATTCTATCATATCATATCATATCATATCATATCATATCATATCATATCATATCATATCATATATCATATCATATCATATATCACATATATCATATCATATATCATATCATATCATATCATATCCTGTTCTGTTCTATTCTATTCTATTCTGGCTTCTAGAAATAAACAATGATAGCCTTTTGCTGCACAGACCAGTGGTCCTGGTCACATGTGTTTTTTCAAGGTCTTCATGGCCACATTGAGAGGAAAACAAATATTTACTTATCATCATATATCATCACTTATCAATATATGCTTATCATCATGGAAACAAATGGACCATTTAATTCCAGGAGGCATTGATGAAACAATACAGTTTGAAAACCAAAAGATGTCTACTGTAATGTCTGAAGAACGACAGACAAAAGACGTTCCGTGTATTAACCTTTAATTATAACGCAGAACAGCTGTATCACATGCTCACCAGCCTAACTAACGTCTCTCTCTACCGGGTCTTTTACTCCCTGCATTAACCCTATAACTACATAAACAGCACTTTCACAATGATTATAAAGTCTGTGCGCTACACTACATTCTTTATTATTAAACGAAGTAATTAGAACAA